AACGGCAGTACACCAATATCCATTGTTGTGCTGTACTTGTACGCTACCACATCCACGCTTTCCGCCTTTATCAACCCACACTGACCAGTGGTGAAATACGATTAAATAAATAACCCCCTCGGCCTAGATGGTAAAACGAGCTGTAAAATGCACTTGTGCGTATACGGCTCTTTTTGTCAATGCATGCATATTCCCTTTATATACTCTTTTGTAAATTACACCCTTCCACTGAGGTGCATACATCTTATTTATTGAGATATCTAACCTCAGCAGGGGAATCGTTTATTTTGTGAATTAGTCAGCTCGGGCGAAATTTCACCAGGACAGGGAAGTTATTGACCTGTATTGGGATTTCAGTTGGGGCGCTGGAGGTCAATGCAGCTGCTTTTATTGAAGACAACCACGGGACCTTTAATGTCTGCAAGAACAGATTGGTCCTCGATCCAACAGCCCTTCCAAACGACAAGCACCTCCTCCAGCACCGTGGGTCCTGGCACTGCGTGTGTGCGCATGTGTGCGCAGCAGAGGTGTGGACTCGAGTCATGTGACTTGGACTCGAGTCAGACTCGAGTCATGAATTTGATGACTTCAGACTCGACTTGGACTTGCATAACAATGACTTTGTCCCACCTCTGGTGCGCAGCATTTTGGCCAAGTATGATTAAATAACCCCTGAACCCATGGCCACCTGGGTCAGTTGTGTGCCCTCCTGCTAGCAAGCTTTCGGCACTTCACGTGGCCTCAAGGTGCACCTAGCCTGGCACAAATACCTGGCGGTTGTTGTCGTGCGGCAACATTGCTCTTTGCCTTGGTCACTGTCCAACCAAATACTCAACCGGGCGGCATCTGAGAGTCGATGAGATTCTCTGGCTATATGTGCACATGCACAGCCCCGTTGTCAATCAACTAATGGACGAGGGACTCCCCCACCGCATGTGGATCTTCAGGGGCTATTTGACCATACTTCAAGCCATGCTCGTCGGTGCGGGTTGGTAAAGGCAGGGAACACAGACGTGGTAATTATAGAACCATATTACAACGACGGATCTTGGCACACTGATATCTCTACAACATAGCACAGCCCAGCGGCTGACTACGACAAGTTGCTAGTATAGTAGTGCGTGGTGTTGACCCATGCAAGCAGTAACCAGGCTCAATTTTACTCAGTTTCCAGGTGACTTTTCCAGAGGTGACCACAGTATATCCCTGTGGTTATAAATAAATAAAAAAGAGAGCTATATTTGCTGTGACTTGAATTGCCCTGGATATGGTCCAACATGTCCCAAGCATGCAATGCACGCCGAGTAAAGTGTGACTTCCAGCAATTAAAGCTTCGTGATCAATATGTGGTGGTCAAATAAACACCACAACCGGCACGCTGTGGGGAGGACTCTATGCAGCAGAAGATGTATGAAGCGGCACTACACATGCACGTACAACCACTGTGTATTTCTACGCACACTGGACTGTGAACTCTGGCACTCTTAAGTTTAATTCCTGTCCATGGGTAGCATCATTGGCGAGTGATACCACTTCAGCAAAGGCTAAACATTGTTATTTTTTATTCATGAATTTGTGCAACAAACGAATTGATTTCCTGGAATAAAATATGACATTGGCGATTGCATATGGAGGGCTGCGTCCAGCAGTAGATGGACAATAGCTGATGATGATATTGACAGCATAAAGTATAACTAATATATTACAAATCATCTGTAAAATAGTGTTTGATTGTGAGTTGACAATGGTGAAATGCACACGCATTAGCGTATGTACAGTAAGCCTATGAAAATACATTCTGGTCAACAACCAAATGGAATGACTGTGTTAACAAAAGATCCCTATGATACAAAGGATGGGACAGATATTCATTTTGCGCTACGGACGTGCAAATTCATCATTTGGTCCATGTCAAATCACCGTGATATTTAAACACAAACATTTTATTAATATTTATTGAAATTACTTTTTTTATTCCATAATCTATTCTTTTTAAATACAATTTTTTTTTATTTTAGTTTACATTTTGCTACAGCAATATACATTTGTGATAAATTGAAAGTTATCCAATATTGCTCAGTACCCAAGTTTTATTTATGCATATATATAAATACAGCATTCAATAACTCGTTACTATTTTCTGATTGAGACATGAAAAGCTTTTTTTCACTTAGAACATGGATTAATACAGGATTGTTAACAGAAATTTTTTTTTTTATGATTTAGAGCTTTGATTGGAGTGTTTACATTTTTTTTACGCATGTAAACTACATGTTGTATTTGGCCAACAACCATGGTAAAATGGTCCTGAATTATTAAATCCCATTACTGGGGTGATACAGCACATTTTTGTAACTTGAATGTCGTTAACATATTCAGTAAGTACAATGGATCCACATTTAGGTCGAACCAGTCGGCAGCACAATTGTACACAGAGTACGTGCAGAATAAACCTTCACATGATGTCTGCGCTTTTAATCAGATAAAGACCACTCGTATAATCAAGCGCGATGAGCAAAAAATATAAAATTTGGCTCTAAGTACAGTTTAACAAGTTGGACCACTCACAATGAATATGTGCTTTTTAAAAAAAAAATTGTGCCAATGCTTGCAGAGAGGATTTGGCACAATGTTGGCACGAGGATTTCAACTGATGCCATCCAGTTATTGGGCTTTGGTTCGAGATTTCCCACATGTGCTTTCTACTACTGGCACATTAATGAAACAAAACTGTACCGAGGCTATAGCCAGATGCTGCTGCCTTTGGAACAAATCGCATTGCAAATGCATATTCCAAGAAAAAGCGACCGAAGCCTCCTGCTGTTGATTATATGCAGCATACACAAGGGGGGCAGTTAAAATGTTTATTTTATAGAATGCGACATCAGACAAGGCACCAGACAAAATCATATTTAACTTATCTTGGCATGCCATCTTGAGTTACTAATCATATAATGGGAACAAATGCAGTGACAGAAAACAATCTATTCATCTTAAGTATTGAGCGTGTTTACTTTTTAGAATGATTTATTCAAACCGTTTGACTGGTCTTTCATATCGTGGACAGCGGAACTGTTATTGTCTGTTCAGCTTACAAAAATTTACGTTCCACATTTTTATTTTAGGGACTGATTGGCTTTTAACTCGTATGGTCATAACGCAAAGCAAGCTTTTCATATTTCTAAATGCTTCTCACATGTTCGCTGTTCCAATATGTTTTTCATAAGTTGTTTTGCCCTCTCTACCATTACATGCCTTTCCGGCCAGCAACGACATCATTCAAATTCATCCTTCAACCGTACTTCTAATAAACAATGGGGTGTTTTTTTTTTAATCAGCAGAGCAGTGATGTATGCATGTGACATTCACCCACTATGAAATGGATGCAGACCTCATTTATAACACCATTGATCCCATTCTATCTTCATTGCGATTTCAAAAGGGTAACTGAAGCACGATTCATTTTCATTTTTCCTGCCCCAATTATCCTGGGTAAAAATTTCAAAGATAAACGAGCAAAATGTCCATCACTATCGACTGCGGGATGATAACAACAAATCCATAAGCATATGGAAACATGGGGCAATTATGCATCTCATAGTCAAGGACCAGTGGCTCCTGAAGCATACTCAGCAGTCAGCAGCCAGCCTGGCTTAGACACGTGTAAGAGAAGACTGCCAAAGCACCGTGTCAGATCAGAACACATTGGATTTCCTTTTTTTTGGCAGGAAAAAAGCCGGTTCCTAGTTGGAAATAACTGCTATCAATCAAGATTTTCAAAATGCCATGCTATATCACATTCGTACACGCGCGCACATAAACAGCAGCATGCGAAAAACAAAAGGGGAGACATGCTTAGTCCGTCGTGCTTGAAGTGCACGACAGTCAGGGAATTGAGCCAGCAATACCGACCCGTGCATAATAAGTTGCACATTGAATAAAACATTTAAATTGCAAACTGCTCCGGCAGAAACGATATTCTGTAAAGTCACGTAGAATGGAAATAATAAAATAATAAAAATAAAACGTTCTATTATTTCCATTCTACGTGACTTAACCGAAAAAACCAAGAAGATGAATCCCTGCAGTCACGAAAGCTTTAAATCGAAATTTAACAATATTCTGATTAAAAGTTGGCCATGCCGCTGCTAGTTCTGGCCTGTCCATGCTTAAAACTGATATGGACCGGTGGCTCGGTGGTTAACGCACGACGCTGTGAACTTGGTGATCTCAGTTCAATGCCGGGTCACGACTAACATCTGTGGCGAGTGATATCTGAACCGGTGCCGGGCAGCCACCTTTACGAACCCACACTGACCGTTGTGGTGAATTGAACGCCACGATTGATGCCATGTCGGCAGACCTTCATGAGCAGTGGATTCACAATGGAGTTGCATATTATTGTTGCAATTTCGATTTAAAGCTTTCGTGACTGCAGGGATTCATCTTCTTGGTTCTTTCGGTAAAGTCACGTAGAAGGGAAGTCATAAAATAATAAAAATTAAACATAATAAAATCAAATAATTCTCACGACGTTTCGGCTACAACGCAAGCCGCCGTCTTTAGGTGAAGACGGCTGCTACGTGACTTTACGGAAAGAACCAAGAAGATATTGTTGCAATGTTATGCATCTAGTCAATACAAAGAGCATAAGTGGATTAAACATCTCTTACAACAGGTACACTTAAAAGGCAGTTTTAGAGACAAAAGCTGTCTTTCCGACAGCTCTGTTCTTCACCTGAGGACGGCTGCTTGTGTTGTGGCCGAAACGTCGTGAGAATATTAGTGTTTTATTTTTATTATTTTATTATTTCCCTTCTACGTGACTTTACCGAAAGATCCAAGAATAAGTATCGTTACTCTATTTACACGGCGGTTATGAAATAACGGAATGGATCCTGCCCAAAACAAACTGTCACATTGACGCATTGCCCAAGTCACGACTAAGCATGAACTAACTTGACATTTTCCTTAGCGTCCTGTGGTTTCCATCGCCTTCCTCTTTGACGATCTTTATGTTCGGACTTAGGATGCTTAGACCGATCTTCACACAACGGATCACATTGTACCGGCCGTCACTTTTCGGCCCGCGTCGCCCTTGCAACAGAGACCCGAAGTCTCCGTGGGTTCTCACCAGGTAATGTCAAGTTTCACCTCTACTACAAAAGTAATCTCTCTCTATATATCTATTGTACATTATTATATCACATTAAAGATGTATAATGTGAAATCTTTATGAACCACAAAAAGAGAGGGGTTTGAGGACTATCAATATCCTCGTAATCATTCTCTATCCACTGCTGGATGAAGGCCTCCCCCATGCCATCCCTCGTGGTCCTACATAATGCAATGTGCTTCGTTGGTTCTGAAAATGAAAAAGAAATGCACAAAACATTGAAGCCAAATGAGACGTCGAGGTGGGTATACATTTTACACGATAATTGACGGAGAGTAATCATTTTCGCCCAGTAAAATCGAAAGCATGCCAGGTAGGAACAGCCATACACGTACATCATTAATATGCCTAGACCCCCCCCCCCCACCACCATAATAATAATCTCGGTGCGTACACAATGGGTTCTTGTTAATAATCATAAAAATAATAAATAAAGTAATCGATGTGCCAATCTCCTACGGATTATGACCTTGAAAGAAAGTATCTAATGATTGTGATTGGCAGAAGTTGATTACATGTCCGCGTTCACTCCCAGTCGGACTATGGGCCAAGCAATTTATTAAAACGTGTGTCAGTGATTGGCTTAATAAGATTCTCAAGAACCACGGCTGTGGACTCCACGGCTCCTCCATCCACCGCCGTCTCCCCTTACCGCAGCCGTTATCAGCAGTTGGCATAACTTAAGTGTGGATGCAATCAGTGTGCTATGTCTAACCCTTCAAATATATCTCGATACGGCAATTATATGGAGGCACTGCGTATTAAAACAAAAAACCACCCACCGCGTAGCTAGCTATAAAACATCGGTCACTACTTTTTCACTGCATATTAAAAACGACTGTGGGTTTTCTTCTTCTGCTGCTGCTATTCTACGTATTTGATGTAATATGCACCATATCACAGAATTGGAATTGATGAGTTTTATTTAAGATGTGAAATTACTCTCTCACCAAATCGCCAGAAATGTGCCCGGTCCCATCACAGCTTGAAAGCAAAGCCTAGCTGAACCTGGATATTGCTCGGATGTGCAACCACCATGCATAATAACAGGTGTTATAGGCTGTGGGATTCAGTGGTGGGCAACAGAGGGCAGTGGTGTACTATACTTCTATGTTCCCGCGTCTATACGTTCTGCCTTTACCAACCCACACTGACCAGGGTGGTGAATTATTGTCCAATAACCCCTAAGACTTAAGAAGGCATTGTGGGAGGCCCTTAACCAGCAGTTGATTGGCGAAAGGGCTGTACATTTACCACAGATAAAACGCACAGCCTCTTACACGTGTCCCACATATATTGTTGCATAGTTGAACATTTATGTTAAATAATATTTTCCATTGAGGGAGCAGAAATTCAAAACCGCCAAACAGATGTTATTATAATATTTAGATGGCTATATCAATCCGTTGAGGTTAAAAATGTCACGTTACATCATAGCTGTGGAACAATGCCCCATTATTAGCTTTCTTGGTGATTTGAATCACGTTTCCCACATAGAAATGGATTATTTAATATTTTCGACTAAAGTTATTTTGTTTGAATTAACGTTTGCAGTTACATGCTAGGACACATCGACTTTTTACATAGTGATTAAATCACTCGTAAGCAGCCTCCAGGCGAGGACTACCCACAGTAAAGTTAAAGGTGCAGCCGGAAATTTCTGGCTTACACCGTTGCCGGTAGCAGGAATGTTTGGCCTACTCTTCCACACTGGCCAGTCAACTTGTCAAAGGTGGCAGTACCCAGACTTTACCCCCACCACACGTGTTTTGGAGGCGGGCGGGGGGGGGGGCAGATTTAAGAAACTTGGACATTATTTTAAATACTGTGCCAGGAGATCAAACCTGACCGACCACCTCTGGATTTCAAGTCCAGCGTGGTAACCAGGACACCACGGCAGTGTAAACGCATCTGAATACATTGCCGTAAAATGTATGTGGGGAGCGGTAGTGTGCCGGTTAGCGCTGCGCTACGAACCCAGCGACCTGAGTTCGAATCCCGCTCACGGTCAACACCAGTGACGATTATCTTAACCGGTGTTGGGCCTCCCCTACGTCGGCTCAGCCTCACATGAGTACCTGGTGCGATGTGTAAAAACTTCGCCACTCAGGAGACAAAGACGGCCAGGCATATGGTGCTGGCCACCCACCCCCTCGTGTGCCGTGCTGGCCTTCATAGGTGCTTGCTAACAGCACTTGCCACAACATTCTGTCAAGGCTATCGGGGGGGAAATCTTTGTCTTTGTGAAATGTATGCTTGGCTTGAAAAATCCACTCTATAGTGGATGTTTTGGCCAACATCGCTGCATTCGGACTGCGATGAATTTCCGTATTCTGGCGAAGGTTTTGGCTTGAAAAATCCACTCTATATTGGATGTTTTGGCCAACATTGCTGCATTTGGACTGCGATGAATTTCCGTATTCTGGCGAAGGTTTTGGCTTGAAAAATCCACTCTATATTGGATGTTTTGGCCAACATCGCTGCATTCGGACTGCAATGAATTTCCGTATTCTGGCGAAGGTTAAATAATGCAATAGGATTAATTGGGTCTTTAACGCCAGGTGAAGGCACTTGTACAATATTGCAGTCATCGGCGCCGAGGTGCGATCATGTCTGAGAGCTGGATGTTTGGCAGTGGTGGACAATATCAAATTACAATGCATTTGTTTTTTTTCTGGCTTGAGCGATGATGATGGAGCCTTTTGTCCCTACCCACACACACTGGAAACACTTAGCATGCACAAGCGGCAACCCACTGCCTTGCATGAGGATCCCATCCAATCTGCCAGAATAGTGCATCATTGCTTTGGAAAGTTTATCACTTTATTGCAGTGTACACGATTAATTGTGAGGATACAATTTTCTAAATTAAAAACACAGCCCTTGGCTGTGCAATGTGACTGAAAGATTGCATAACAGTGTGTGGGCACTATTATAATCAGCAATGTGCTTGAAGAAAAAAATATATATTGTACTCAGGTTGTAAATGTTGTGGCTTGGCTCTCTAACACACCGGTGTGCTGTACTAGTGACGAATTGGCACGTTCTGTTTACGTGACAACCCTTACTAGTTGGCTGTGTCAGGTGGTGGTGGGTTTTAACGACACATTTATATATGTACGCAATCTAACCCCCAAAAAAAAACCTCTTATGGAAAATATATATTGTACGTGTAGAGCCTTGTCATTCTACTGCTGGATGAGGGCCACAGCATTCCACGTGGGTTGCGAGGGTTATTTAAACATACTTCACCACATATTCTTAGGTTTTTTCGGTAAAGTCACGTAGGTAAAAAATAAAATTAATAAAATTAAAATTAAAGTAAAATAAAAATCACGACGTTTCGGAAGCAACACAAGCCTCCGTATTCAGGTGGAACAGTCACAGCACGATAGCTCTAAATTAATAAAAGTAAAATAAAAATAAAATAAAAATCACGACGTTTCAGAACAGTCACAGCACGATAGCTGTATCTCAAGTGAGATACAGCTTTGCAGTCACGAAAGCTTCAAATCTAGAATACTTCACCACGCTAAGTCAGTGCGTGTTGGTAAAGGCAGGCAGCACGGAGAAGGGAAGTAGGCGGCACAGAGAAGGGGAGCACAGAAGTACTGTACAGTACCATAGATATTTTTGTTTGCACTGCTCTCTAACAATCCTGAACCACATTAGCTGGTGTTGGAATGGAACAAAATATTCGAAGTATATATATTTTTCAAAAATAGCATGATGATAGCAACTCATTTCATAAATATCCGTGATCAATCCACTGCTGTATAAAGGCCTCCCAGAGCTGCCGCCATCGCATGTGCGTACGAGTAACACATTCCTGCGGAGGGAGCTGGTAGGAACGTTGGGTTGCTCGGTCAATGGCCAGGGTCAACGGCGGCGTGGTGTATTCCGCAAATATGGCCGACTGTTAGGGCGGGCACAAGCCGGCGTGAGTAGGTTAAACGTTCAGTTTTATAAGGGCACCACGGGGTGACCAGCTCCTCCCCACCCAGCCCCACCCCCCAGCCAGGCCTACCCTCTCCACCTAGCCCCTCCCCACCCAGCCCATCCTCTCCCTCCCAACCCAGCAGCATTAATTGAAATATCATGTGCCGCCAATGCAATTTTTGCCACATTTGCAGTGAAGAATGCATACCATTACCTGCCATACAAAGTCATTTCAGGCCCCAATAGTGGCCATTAGACCATACTTGTTTGAACATACTGCACCACACTCCTCAGTTCAGATATCAGTTGCCAGTGATGTTAGCCATGGCCGAGAAGCAAAGGTCAAAGGTTACTGGTACAGTGCTCGAACCACGAGATAACTCTTGCATAAATATCATGACATTTACTTAAATATTTTCCCAAAACCCAATGCAAAACGAGACATGTCTACATAAATTTATTGTTTACCATGCTCATATGGATTTGGTTATACTGTATCTTACAAAAAATGTGTAATCATATACATATCATTGTGATTTGACATTGTACGTGCAGCCTTTAATAAATCCACTACTGGATCAAGGCCCCTTCCAAACCAAGTCGATTGATTGACCATAACTTCACTTCGCTGGTCTGTGTGGATTGGTAAAGGCAGGGAAGCCCGGGACCAGTTTAGAGATTACTATCCACTGATGTTTCCCATGGGCGGGAATAGAATTTAGATTGCAGGGTTCATACTGCAGTACACTAACAACTGCACCACCACTGCCACCCCGATACAGCATTATCCCTATATTTATGCTCATCTGTAACCAATCGAGTAGTCAACGCAAATAAACTGTTTCACATAGCATTAGTGAGCAGGACATTAAATTAAGAGCATACGGTGACAGACCGTCCTCACATCAGTGGCATATTTGGGCTCGTGTCAAACGGAACGCCCGAACGATGCCACCGCAGCAAAATAACCCTGGCTGGGGAAACACGTGCTTGGACCAACAAAGCAGCTTAAGGATTATCGCTCTATTCCTATCGAGGGGCTTGGGGGGGGGGGGGTCCCCCACTTTCTTCTTAAAGCAGAGAGGCGTAATAATAGCCTACCCCCCACCCCACCCCTTCGAGATGTCGCCTGCAAATAAACCCAGCCGTATTTGAAGTCGTCCTTGCGTTGCATTCGTGCGCAGAGCGGAGCAACGCCGAGCATCAGCAGCAGACTATGCTTTCGCACCTGATGATGGACGCTTGTGTTGCGCCAGAAACGTCGTGATCTATTTTATTTTATACCTACGTGACTTTACCGAAAGAAAGAACGAGTGTGTAAGGTTACGGTCCCCCGCGTGGCACGCGCAGCGCCGTCAAACTCCACCGCACGCACACGTCAAGACGACGACGTTTCATGTCATCCTCCTTCTTCACGAACCGCCGGACGGCTAAACGCTGGCGACTTGCAAGAAACACGTATTGCAAGATACACGTATTTCGCCCGCTTGTTCAATTTTTGGTGGGCAAAACATGTGACAGAATGTAACAGCCCGTCGGGCTCTTGCGAAGGCGCGCAATCGCAATGTCAAATGTGTAGGGATACCCACTTCATCTTTTTGGTTCTTTCGGTAAAGTCACGTAGAATGGAAATAATAAAATAATAAAAAGAAATCATAATAAAATAATTCTCACGACGTTTCGGCCACAACGCAAGCAGCTGTCCTCAGGTGAAGAATGAAACACCACCAAGCTTGGAGCGTATATTTAAGCTGGGTTGGAGGAGGGAAGAAGAGCGCCTTGACAAAATAATTTGCATATCAAGAGGAATTTAGCATATTTATGGGAAATGCGTAGGAGGTGGGCGGGGGGTTTCAAAGTCATATTATGCCCGTGCATTATGCAGGATTATCTGCATCAAAGGGAGGGGATGGGGGTAGCATTAACAAAGGGAAGGAATGTTAATAGTATGTAGCTGCAGTTACTAAACAACCACGTAAAAAAACTAAAGTATGAACTGCAAAGTATCATCAGTATACTAAATATACTCTCCAATAAGCTGAGCTACTAACAGTAAGTAATACATTACAATTCTATGTCGCAAAAAATATAATATGCTTCCAGCTAAACGTTTTTCTCTTACATCACACGGGTCTACCCCGTACTATATACTACCATAGACAAACCCAACATTAAATTATATACTGTACTTGTTATGACGTGCCCAAAGATAGTACTGTAATGCGATTCGGTGATGGCAGTTTTCGTGTTTACAGGGTGACAAAGGAGACAACAGCACAGTTGCTACGGCAGCATTAAAATGAGTGTAGTTTATCTCAGGCAGTTCTATCTGAAAAACGATTGAATCCAAAACACTCTTCGCTTGACGTACACAAATACTAGGACTCCCTATAGATTAGTAATTTTCTTTAGACGTTTGAACAGGTTGCCACTTTCTTTCATTTACGGGCAGCCATTAGTTCATGATGATTTTAAAGGTCTTTCCCATAGAGTGCAGTGCGGGGCCTGTAGCGGATGTTATAAAGGGGCCCTAAATAAAACACGTATCTATTAAAACACATCAATGTTTAACTTGCATAGTAAAGTAATTGTATGTTTTCATTTGCTATACAGCCAGATAATACGACAAATCGCTAACCTTAATCACCCAGTCGTTCATAAAAGTTGAAGGCAGTATAGTACTATAGTAATAGAGCAAGTGCAGAATCACTGAATCGGAATTGATAGCTTGAAAGCATTTAGTGCGGGGCCCTTGAAAGTACGGGGCCCGTAGAATATGTAGCTACTTTTGTTACTAGGATAATCCGGCACTGATAGGGTGTCGATTATCGGTGGGTTTTGCCCATATCTCACCAGGGTGATTATTGCGTGTTGATGATGAAGTGGAGGGGGGGGCGAATCCAGGCTGACATGAGGCGTTTATGATAATCGAACTTGGATTCACAGCGCTGCGTGCTAGCCACTGCACCACCGCTTCACACACACACACACTATGACCGCCGGGTGTGTTGCATTATATTTGATTAATGTGTCCGGGAATGCTGGCGCAAGCGTTTATTAAACACAGTCGAGTTCTCATACAGTAGTACAAACAGCTTCGCATTTTACCGATCACTACCCCACCTTCCTGTTATATAGTGACGAGTAGTCGGTGTTGTTTTCTTCAAATGTGACATTACTGCCGCATGCCATGCATGATCAAGCACACGCTCCGGCGTTAGTCATCAACTTACATAAATTTAAATATACATTTGCAATCACGCGGGCAAGTTCACTCATCGAAGTTTCTGTGATCTTCACGGATACATTTGATTTTGCGAAATTCAAGTCGAGCGAGCCTCGATGATTAACAGTTTGTGCTCATGCGCAGTGGACATTGTTTCAACGTGTGACGACTACCTTGTACGACTGTCACAATGAGTGCATCGCTCTTGACGGATGACAAGACGGACCCTTATAATTGTGCCAAGCTATCAAATCAGTCACGTTACACACATCTGATCACACACACACACACTGGATTGTTATAAGACAAACAACCTACTTTTGTTTTCATAATAAACGTGTTTGGGTTAGATCGCGTTATTTATAAATGTGTCGTAACCCTCCACCACCCGACACGGCCAATCAGCAAAAAAGTGTCACGTTGACAAAAGACACTACTTTAGCCCTACTCATGTTTTCAAATACACGGGGATAAATCCGTCTCATAACCCGGCAACTCTGGTACCATATGGACATTTGAACAAATACAATACCGCGTAGTATCTGCAATCGAGTGATCTCAATGGAAATGGGACAGTGGCGGGATAAAAACCCATTTGTCCTTGCGGCATTGATCACTGCTACCACGCATTATCACTTCCCTTGCGCGGTGGAGACCGGCGTGGCATATGAATAGGAAACGCTCTGACAAGTGCAGGGGCAGCTTCAACCATTCCACCCCCAAACTGTCACGACAACACATCCGCAAATATATTTCACACGAACACACAAACTACAGAGTCGATCGTCGATTGCCTACAACGTGAATCCCCCCACCCCCCTTCTCCCTTGTAGCTCGCATTGTACCGTGACTTAATCTCGAACGTCTGGACAGGCAATGCAAAGAGGCAGAGAGATGAGAGAAGCGGCACACACAACAACAAGAGCCCTCAAACGACCCATGGACCACCACCTCCAACCCCAACCATCAAGGTCGGCGGTTAAAGGTAACACACACACACACACAACTACACACACACAGCCATTCAACTCCACGTTATACGTACAGAAAAGACACAACGAGATCCCATCGTAGGGTTTGTTATTCACCGTTAGCATCATGCTGCATCTTACCAATCCGTTCGGAGACGCGTGCAGCATTCGGCTGTGAGCGCGCTGCGCTTTGACGCGCCCTGTTTGACACGAGTCTGCGTTTGAAAACCGCGTGAACGCCCAGCAAATGGTAATAATGTTGATTTGAAGCTTTCGTGACTGCAGGGATTCATCTTCTTGGTTCTTTCGGTAAAGTCACGTTGGTAGAAGAAAATAATAATAAAAGAACACGACGTTTCGGTCGCAACACAAGCGTCCGTCATTTATTTAATTTTTTCTGTCTACGTGACTTTACCGAAAGAACCAGAAATGGTAATAATCAATGGTTCTTTAAAACAGTACGGCAGAATACGGCATATATAAAGATTCACGCGTGTGTACAATGCCACCCGGGATACATACACACACACATGTCCAGTGCCACTAGCGTTGCGAGCTTTAATAAACCGTGCATTGTTATTATCATCTCGAGTACGGACATTCGTTATCAATAAAAAAAACAATTTCCGAACGTGATCATCACCATCACGTTATCATTGAACTCTCAATGTCTCGCCTTACCGTAAGTGGTATAATTGGCGTGACCGTGTCCACTCTCGCTGTAGCCTCCTCTGATCCAAAAGCCGGCTGTACCGTAATTCCCCATGATGATGGGGTTGTGGTGCGTCTTCTTGTTCAGCAGGAGTCCACGATTTGCCCACCCAGCCTTTACGATTCTACAACAGCTCCAACAGCAGCAGCAGCAGCTGTAGCAAGAACAGCAGCAGCCAGCAGCTCTGACAGGAGCTTACACACACACCACAGCAGCGGCTATATCAGCAAACAGCAGCAGCAACACACCACCGCAGCTATTGACAGCGGCTATGTCAACACACAGCAGCAGCTACAGCAGCAGCTGTAGCTGCAGCAACTCAACAGCACACACCACAAGCAGCTACAGCAGCAGCTGTAGCGGCAGCAACACAACAGCACCACGCCACAAGCAGCTACAGCAGCAGCTGTAGCGGCAGCAACACAATAGCACACACCACAAGCAGCTTCAGCAGCAGCTGTAGCGGCAGCAACACAACAGCACCACGCCACAAGCAGCAGCAGCTGTAGCGGCAGCAACACAACAGCACACACCACAAGCAGCTACAGCAGCAGCTGTAGCGGCAGCAACACAACAGCACCACGCCACAAGCAGCTACAGCAGCAGCTGCAACACAACAGCACACACCACAAGCAGCTCCAGCTACAGCAGTAGCAGCAACACAACAGCACACACCACAATCAGCAGCAGCAGCTCTAGCAACACAATAGCACACACCACAAGCAGCTACAGCAGCAGCTGTAGCGGCAGCAACACAACAGCACCACGCCACAAGCAGCAGCAGCTGTAGCGGCAGCAACACAACAGCACACACCACAATCAGCTACAGCTACAACAGCTGTAGCGGCAGCAACACAACAGCACACACCACAATCAGCTACAGCTACAGCAGCAGCTGTAGCAACACAACAGCACCACGCCACAAGCAGCTACAGCAGCAGCAGCAGCTGTAGCAACACAACAGCACACACCACAAGCAGCTACAGCAGCAGCAGCAGCTGTAGCGGCAGCAACACAACAGCACCACGCCACAAGCAGCTACAGCAGCAGCAGGAGCAGCATTCACTTCAAAAAAATCACGCAGGATCACGCGAGTCTGGATTCGTCACGTTGCTGCTCTCTCCCTCTCTGCTTCTCCTTCTTCCGTGTGCGAGCGAGCGAGTGTGTGTGTGTGTCCCCTCTGTGTGTACGTGTGTATGTTATGTATGGATGGGTTTTTTTTCATAAATGATGCCGGATTTGTGTGTGTGTGTGCGCGCCTGCGAGATGATGTCAGCGGCTGTGTGTGTGTGAGCTCTCGGTGCGAGTCGATGTCACTGCACGCGCGTGCGTGCGTGCGTGCGCACGTGTCTTTGTCTTTGCGCGTGTATGTACGGTGTAAGGAGTATTATGCAGGCGTGGTATGCATTATGTATGCCCTGGTTTTTTTTAATATATGTGTTGATGCATTCACTGTCCGGTGAAAAATGTTAATGCCCTAATGTGGTAAAGGTACGGATCTGGTCTGAAGGCGTGTTACGTGCGCAGCTGCACACGCAGTCTATAATCGTGTACACTTACTGAATGTATATTTTAGCATGTGCCTCCTACGCGCGTGCAAGGCTTGCGCGTGTTAGTAAGCGTGTACCAATGTGTTTGCCTGCTACGCAGCGCGGTGCAATTGAGCGCAGTGGATTGTCCGCTAGACGGACTGGAAGGAAGGCAAAGACGGTTGTGTGGTGTGGTGGAGTCGGGGGCTGCTTGGACGAGTCGCTGGCAGCGGGAAGGGGTTGGGCGCTGAGTGGGATGGTGGTGGTGGTGGTGGTGAGGGTGGGGGTGGTGGTGATGGTGGTTATTGGCAGGGGGCGGGTGCTTTGAAGGGATGGGAGGAGGAGAAGGAACGATGGTGGGAGGTGGAGGATGAGTCTGGGCAAGACAAAAAAAGGTGTTCCCTCTTTACGCAATACTGTGACGTGGATTCTGTCAATTAATGTGCCCGCTTATGAATGTGGATAGATTTTTTTTGTATTGTGGTTATCACACACACGTTAGCGTGATGCGTATTTCTGTATAGGTAAATTCTTAACGGTAATGTTCACCATCCCCGTTTCAACATGCTGAGCCAAGAGATATTTTATTCATATTAAATGCGTCCGATCTTGTCACCTCTCAAAGGTTAAGCAGGTGTTGAGCAGACTTAGTTAGGACTGGGGATGGGAGGAGGCTGTTATGGTTTAAGCCACGAGTCGTCCGCTTCGGCAGCGATGTTGGTCGAAAGATCGCCGTGCAGCGATGGGTTAACTCCATCTGTGTGAAAGTCTGAGCGTGTTCTCTTGACGATAGTCTTTTACGAGCACTTCGTTTGTATATCCCACGTAAAGCCACACACTCATTCATGGAACCGGTCACACAAGTCAATGCAGGACCCTCCAGAAAATGTCCATATGACTCAGCCATATGTCCATGCGTAAGAGTTGCTGCATTGTTATTAAGGGTATATGTAATATCTATTATAGAATCCTGACGTGGTGTAATGGTTTGTGTAGTATGCTTGCAATGCAGACGTCGCTGGTTCGATCGCCCGGCGCGGCAGTTGAAACAACGGTGAAAGTTTCCCAAACATCTCACCCCGGTCCTGAAAACCGAGCAGCACTCCGCGATCCAGTCGATCAGCTGGTGGCGTGTGGTGGGGTAAAGTGTGTCTATTGAGCTTCCACCTCTTCTAAGGCATCTTGCCAGCGTCGAAGAGTAGACCAAATACCCTCGAAAGGTATTCTCATTTAGCTCCCTCGAGTGAAGGCTTCCACCAGCAGTGGCTGTGGCACCACGCTTGGCGTAAAGTGAACCTAATGGCATTACACCGGGGTACCATATGACCCCGGCTCTCGCATAAGGTCTGTGATGCAGTCACGTTTAGTCTGTAGATGGTCGGCGATGCGGCAATCGACTCATCTCGACGAGCTGTATACCATGCAACTATTTAAAGTATAATTTTTCGATAACTGATTTTTTTCATGCTGATGTTCGGCGTTTCGACATCGCGGAGTGTGGCACTGATTTCGGATTGATTGGTACCCCAGTTACAGAGTGAAGTACACCCCTAGAAAAAATAGTGTTCCAGAAATAAAATATTTAAATGCCTCTACCATTTTGTAAGGATCATATGTAGCATACAAAGACAAAGATCCCCCCTCGTATAGCCTCAAACGACTTTTGCGACAAGTGCTGTTAGCGAGCACCTCCGACACACGAGGGGGTGAGTTGCCAGCGCACACAATAACAAGTAATCCATGTGTCAAATTGTGTATCAGGAGAAATGATTATAACTAAACCTAAGACAGTTCCTTAAGAAATATCCATTAATGACCCAGACAAACAAGGCGTGGTTATGTCCAGGGTCATTTTACTTTTCGAACCCATTCTTATTCCACGTGTAGTGACATCGCGAGATGTCACTGTGCAGTGCCGGCTCTGGAGAGGGCACGGCGTGTGGTGTAGAGACATCGCGGACACCACAATGGGGTGGCTGTAGTACCGGCCCTAGAGGGACTCGGTCAGCGCTGATTGATCGCGCTGGATGGCACCACGCTTGGCGTGCAGTCCCAGCCCTACAGGACATGGTGGAGGGGGAGTGCTGGCCGTAGGAATGGGGTTACTAAAGGCCATGGCACTCTGGTTGACCCGAGAGGACACGTGACCGGTTAAGTCTACAAAGGGGCCCCAAGTGGGGGCTAGGGGTGGTCACGTGGTCAGGGTCCAGATCCTTCCCGAGGATTCTGGAAGGTGGTCGTGGTCAAGGGTGGAGCCAGCCACGCCGCAGAGGATATAAGCCAGGTCCCCAGAGGGACCGGCGTTGTTGTTCAACCTGAAGAAACCTTCGTCTACGTTCTACATCCTACAGAGTATCCAACACGTGGATCTGGACCCGAGCTGTGGTCCCAGTCCGTAGTAGCTAGCCACGTTGTAACTAGTGTAGTTAGCCTGGTGGTCACCACCCGGCTAACTACACTAGTTACGTTGTGACTAGTGTATTAACTAGTGTAGTTAGCCTGGTGGTCACCACCATAGGCTGTTATTCTGTCAAGGGGCAGTTACCCCGTGTGTTGGTGTTAAATAAATGTGTTGCCTCCAAGTGTACGTCTGCGACTCGGTTGAACTCACTACACATGTAAGAAAAGTCACGTACGTGCAGTATCGTGAAAAATGAAGGTTCAACTTGCGCCGAGCCAAGATGCACCACCGTGTCTCAACACATGCCCTTGTCGAGAACATCAAGACACAACTTCGGGAATGAGGCTGAGATTAGCAGCAGGCTGTCTTTGACAAAAAAAAAAACATGTGCGGGCTTTTACGTTTTCTTATTAATTATCTGCATCGTGCCAACATCGTTTGGAAACACGCCGTGCAGCTGGAGAAACTGGTTCTGGGGCTTTGGCGCACAATTCTGGCACGGTTCCAGTGTTGACGGAATGCACTACCTGCAGATTTTCACCAACGCGTTAATAGATAAACGGCTTTACAGGGACTGTATCTTCGATCTTCCTCGTAAAAGTGAACGGTGATGCCAGAGATCCACATATTGACCAGTAGAGGCCGTTGTAGGGAAGGTGGCATGTTCTGGGCAGGATCGGTTTGTTGTAAGTTTAACACGTAGGCTTTTCGCGACCAATATCATCCACAATACAGGTTTTTTTTGGGGTTAGATCGCGTAAATATATACATGGCACACCTACCCCTCTATATAAAGAACGAAACAGGAGAATTTCTCACAAATCTGGCTGTCCGCCTGATGTAGCCCGTTGTAATTACTCACGAAACGTTGTTCTCAGATTGTGAATGTTGTAGCTTTGGTCTCCAACACACAACCGGTATGCTGTACGAGTAACGAATTGGCCACCTTCTGTTTATGTGACAAACCCTCACTAAATGGCTATGTCGGGTGGTGGCGGGTTTAACGACACATCTACGCGAACTAACCCAGAAATAAAATCTGTATATTATCGGTTCGTTGGGTTGGTCGAGTGGAGAGAACCCATCATGGGAAGGCTGAGAGATCCAGGTGCGCGGTTTGAACTTTGAGCCCACATTGAGGCTGGGCTAATGTACGCAAATATTCCATCGAGTTTAATTACTCACCTACTCGAGTATATCACCTTCGGTTTACGATTGTGCCACTGGATGGGAGATGATGGGCGCGGCTAGGGACGTCATCGACATCGCCAACCGCCTAATGCTGGTCGTGGCTTGTAGGGGTGTCCTGCCTTATGTAACCGTTTTTAAAGGAGTCTGAGTAATAGACCACCAAAAAACGAGTCATATATATATTTAATCAATGTATAAATTTAACTCATTATCCAGGCTCAAAACGATTCCAATTAATGAGTGATTTAAACAAAGTTGATTCTAAAAGCAAACTTTCTTGAAGTAGACAAATGAGATCCTAGACAAAGTGTGCCGCCTGTCTCGGCAGTCACGGAAGGGAAATGCACGAGAGGGAAAGTGGACCTGAAGGACTGGGCCTGCACAAGTTTTGTGGCACTTGGGATTTTGACACTGCAAAGCAAAATTAATGTTGGAAAGCGGAGGGTTATCGGTGGCACATTGCGACATATATAAACCTGGGGGCCTCAATTCGATTCCTGGCTATGGTTAACATCGGTGATAAGTGATATCCAAACCGGCCATAGAGGTCCTCCCTCCACCACCAGCCTGCACTGACCAACATTAATGGTAAAGCAATGCTAACTACCGACATGGTAAGCCTCCATCCAGCAGTTGTCAATGGTACTGCAATTTGACAACCCTCAATAATGGGAGCCACAAGGGCTTTTAGAGGACAGTTGTGTCACAGTGGTTACACGGTTACATTGCATCTATCACCTAGTTAACGGGAATAGCAGACGTGATATCATGTGCCCAATGCTACGCCATCCTTCGATTCCATAAATTTGCCTGGCAGTCATCTTACATTTTGGGGTAGTGAAAGCAAAAATATGTTTTGATGACATTTCAAAGGAAGCATAAATTCATGTCGAGCTGTGTAAGGTGTGTAATGTCAACAGTCAGATTTCCCACCACTCAGTTATACACAGTCATATTTCCAGCAACCATTCGTCAAAGTTTCCCCCAAAAGATCAATATAACCTTACAATCTTTCCAGCCAGTGAATTTCAACATTTCACGTTTCTTACAAATTATGGCACACTTCCTGTTTTGAAAACAACAGAGCAAACTCAATACTTGCCAAGAATATAAATTAACGTGAAAAATTACAACGATTAAAACCTCCTTAAGAGGTTAATCATCGTGTTAAATTTCACGTAATGTGTACGTGTACTTTTAACAATGAGTTTATAACCGCTGACCGCATACTGCATGACATAGATATCCGACCAATTGGAGAGTGAGCGGTTTTGCAGTCAGAAGGTTGCCAGTTCAAATCCGAGGAGGGGGTTAACTCATCCCATCATTCTTCCTCCTGCGTCAATAAAATAGGCAGCACCTTTTTTGGGGGGGGCGTCAATAGCAGTTGTCCGATGGGGAGACTCAACCCGTACCTGCAAGAACGTGGAATTTCCTACCGTTGGTTCGGAGCTGGAAACCGGAGATTGAGTACTGCCTAAATGCTCATTAAGTCAATTAGGATTTTTTTTATAAAAAAAAAGATCAGTCAAAGAACTAAAGTGGTAATGGAAGACAAAGCAGATCTCTAAAGACTTTGTTTTGATTTGTTATTGAGTGGTCAGTAGCCTTGGAGAAAAATCTCAAGCGCGAATATTGACTTGCACAAGTATCAGTGTC